ATAAAATATACTAAAATATACTAAAATAATGTATACTAAACAAAAACATTTTACAAGTTCTTCTGCTTAGTACAGCTCCTTCTTCGTCCTTAACTACTGATCATCCTCATCCTCCTCCAGTCAATACTTTAAACTCTTGATTAGAATATAATATGTACAAAATTTATAATGTTCCTGATCAATACACATATATACCTTCTTCTCTAGCTTCCAGGTACACTCCTCTAGTCACTACTCCAAATTCTTGATTAGTAAACAATATGAACAGCATTTACAAGTGTTCCTGTTTAGTAGTACAGTACATGTACAGTACACGTCATACACCTATCTCCTTCGCTACTCCAAAATCTTCATTAGTACACAAAATTTACAAGTGCTCCTGCTTAAAAACCTAATTATACACAGTACACATTAGAAAAAAAACCCCAATAAACAGTTCAAAGTTTGACCTTCTTTTTTTTTAATATATTAAACTAAAAACACGAATAATGAAGTTATAGCCCTTATATTTTAATAAATAGATTTTTAAAAAAATAATGAGGAAAAAAAAATTTTTAATTTGATTATTTTGATAAACTTTACAAGAAAATTGACGTTGAAAAAAATTGAAATTTTCCCCCCTTTTTTTTAGATGAAAGCGCGTTTAATTTTATCAAATAATAAAGACAAATAATAGGCTATTTATCAAAATTAGTTGCTATTATCTTAGTTATTTAGTTGATTAAATAAATGTCAATAAAAACGATTAACTTCTCTCAAAAATTTAACAATTTTAGCTTGGATTCTGTTGAATCTTTTAAAGTAAATCTACTTAATTTATTCTATTTTTTTCTTTCTTTTTTTAAATAAAATTTTTATCGTAATTTAACGTTATCGAATGAAAAATTCGTTCGGTTATTTTCTCGAAAATTGGAAAATATTTTTATGTAAAAATTTCAAGAAAATAAACGTAAGTAATATGATTTTTCGAGAAATTTCGTTCATTTAATTTTATTAATTTATACAAAAGGAAATTGTGAAAAAAAATGTTAAGAAGATTCAAAACAAGAAGAATTTATATTTAAAAAAATTTTTTTAATATAAAATTTAGTTATTTTAAATTAAATTTAGGCAGTTTTTAGTAAAATTTCTAAGATAAAGTGTAATGAATATTTTTTAAATCTATTACAGGATTGGCTGGATTATGATTATCTTAACGTTTATTGGATAAGGAATTAAAAATTAAATATGTTTTTGCATAAATTCGGCAGAAATTTACGTATTTTTATAAGAAATGTTTCTTTTTAACTTTAATAATAGTTCATATATTACAATATTTATTATAAATTATAAAATATCATAAACAAATATTATATATTTGCTATTAAATTATTAAAAAAATAGATTTTAAGAAAATTAAATAATATTTTAAAATAAATTTATTACAAATGTAATCTTGATTATGTTTTCATGATAATCGAAGTATACCGGATGGCTCAAAAGTCTGTTAACCGGTATATATGTATATTATAATGGTTGAAGTCGATTATGAACGTTTCTACATATTCGTGCTCTTGAAATATGATAAATCTCGGTTAACTGACTTTTGGACGGTTCTGTGTATTTTATTTTATTTTACACACTTTTATATATTCAAGTATTATAATATTTTATATACTTCTTTGTTTAAAATATTGATTTTTTTTAATGTATGAATGAATTTAGAGTTGGAAAGATTAATGTATAGTTGCATAAAACTATTTTGTATAAATAAAAGTTTATTTGATCCTAAAATCTTACTCAAAATATGAATTAATTATGAAAAACAATATGTGGTTCTCTGCGATTTATATGAGATATCGAGCGATTTATTTTAACAGAAATTGATTAATTACATGATTATCTTAACGAAGATTGGTTGGAAGGGAAGAAACAATTGTATACGTTCTTGCTGCTTCTTATTTATAACTCTTAAATCAATCATCGTTACAATCTTATTCCGTTGAATGTCTTTCTTATTCGAGACGATTTTTCTTTACTTAATTTTCTCCTTTGTATCTGAGGAATATTTTTAGTTCTTATTTTTCTCAAGTGCTCTGGCATTAAGTAAATCTAGATAATAATATAAAATATTCACAAAGTTTACAGTAATTTAATACAAAAAATTATTTCATCACACTGTTTACTATAATATATTTTTTATATATACTACAAGGTGGACAAAAAGTCAGTTAACAACGTTTAGTTCAGTCTACATTTGTAAAGGATTGTAAACTGTTTTTTGTTAACTGACTTTTGGGCCACCCTTACTGTAAAATGATATTAATACTGTACTTGATTTTATAAGCTTCAATTATATGTTTACACTATTTTGCATTATTCCATCGGTGGAATGATGAATTACTTTGTGTTATTTACTTGAAAAATTTCAAAAAAATAATTGATGTAACAATAAGGAGTTTATTTATTTATTTATTCATTTTATAATTTATTGTTATTGTTACTGTCATCGCAAGTTATCGTTTTAGTAACCGTAAAACAATTCATTTTTTAATATTAAATAAAATGTATGTACGTATTAAAAATGCATATTTTATCATAAATAATACATTTTGTTATAATCAATAAAATCAACAATGGTTATTTCCCTCGCTCATTTTTGATTTTTATTTATTTATTTATTTATCTCCCTGTTTTTCACTGAATATTCGATAATCGAATAAGATTTTTGAATAGACTTATCGAGTCATTTTTTAAAAATGAAATGTCCATTCGTTTATATATTTTTTATTATTATATTATATATATTTTTTACTTCGAAGACAACTGAAATACCGATCAATCTTTCTAAACCGAACAATGATTCTTTCTAATCAATATTTCCTTATTTGAAGAATTAATCTACATAAAAATAAAACTAAAATTGAATTAAAAAAAAAAAAAAGAAAAATGTTATTATCAAGCAAAATAATTCTTTAGTTTCAAGCGTAATAAATTTTAAAATAAATAAACCAATAAGCTTTATTTATAAAGTGACGTAAATACATAAATATCCAATCGTTTCAATTTATGAAACGAATGAAACGTTACTATTTAAACTTAAATTATTGTTATTGGCTACTTTTAATTTACGCAATTAAAATGGGCGTTGTTAATTTTTTTATAATGAACCAATTAACGCGCTAAATGTTTTTGAAATTTAAACTTGAGCTTTCATTGGATAATTAATATATTACTTAGTAACTTTTAAGAAGTTTAATTGGTTGAAGTTATTTCTAAAGAAAAATATGGGAGTGATTTAATTTTTTCAACTTTTCAGTATATTAAACAAACGAAATATATAAAATATGAAAATATTTTTATACTTTTAAGCAATTCCTATTAAGTTAAATCATTGTAGAATAAATATTAATTAATTACATTTAAGTAGAACAGTAAATATTTTAATTAATCGTTAAAGTTTCTTCTTACCATAAATTTGCAATGATTTGTTATTGCATTTTTTTTAATAGAGATGATTCGTCATTTTATACCTAATTTCGGTAACTTGATACATTAACCGCTACTTGTCATACAATTTGTTTTTTCTTATTTTATTTTTTGCACGTGTTAAGATACTTTTATTTTTGAATCTTGGCATCATATTATCGACCGTTTTCCTGGCTATAATGACGTGTCTATCGACCATTCATTTTAAAGATCGGATAGAGATATAGTGTTCATGATCGTTGGAACGAGATCTAAGAAAATTCGACTTGGTTAAATCCTAGCTAAAGCTCTCTTCAATCGAACTCTCATTAACCATTTGCCTTTTCTTGCTCCCTTTTCTGGAAAAAAAATACTAAGAAGAAAAGGCAGTCCATCTCCAGGAAGAAGGGATCAATATTGCTCGATAAAACGTTTTGTTGTCATATACAGCACCTAAGGATACTCTCACTGAAAAGACACTCTTACAAATGGATTGATGTATGTACTTTACTGTATCATCCACAGAAGTGCGACTGTACTAAATTATAGTGCACAGTCTTGTAACATCGCGAGAGTATTCCCATATGCTCTCCTTTACAACGCCGCTATCTCCCCATACAACATTGTTTTTAATCCTTGATAAAATTGCACATTATTGCTGATATCCCGTGCAAAATATATATCTTTAAAGCTACAATCTTCTATATTTTTATATAAATAAAGAATTTACTCTTATAATCGAACACGCTTGAAGTTATAAGCTATAAAACTTATCTTACTGCAGATTTATCATTAAAGTAGAAGCCATTAAACTCTACTAGAAATAATGAAAAAAGTTCAATCTTCATACTTCAATACGGAGATAAAAAAATAATAATAATAATAAAAAAATTGTCGAGGTAATAAATTAAGAAATATATTTTATTTTCTATTTAAAAAAAATAAAAAAGTTAACAACACAACAAAATCAATTATAAACTACTTACTTTAATTCGTTTTATTCACACTTAATTAAGTTTTAATTCAAATTAAAATTAATTAAGGATTAAAAATTTAATTTAACTAGTTACTGATTTTTTAGGGAATTTTTTTTTCCTGACAAGCAAATAATAATAATAATGTATGATAATTAAATAATAATGTACAGTACACAAAACATATCAATTCTCTGAGGATTATTACATAACTGAGTTTTTATTTTGTACTAATTAAGACGAATTGAATGACATTTTAAATAATTATATTTTACAGAAAATTGTCTCATTAGTTTCTACTATTTTTATAATTTCGAATAATAAATTTATTTTTGTCGATATTAAAAAAAATAAAATAAAATTGTACACACGAAATTGTTGAATTAAATAAGAAATAATAATAAAAATATTTACTAGATATCGAATTTATAACATTTTTACTATTTTTCTGATCATTATTATTTTGAAACTTTGTGATAAACTATAATGAGATCATTTATAAATAAAATTATGACAAAATTTTATTTGAAATTACCATATTTTTACGTAATTTATTATGATTTGAATTTGTTTTTTTAGTAAAATCTGTCCAAAATGAAACCTGAATCTGCTTATACGGAAGAAATTCTTTGAAACGATGCGATTTACGTGTTAAAACAAGAAAAAAAAACCTGTTAAAGACGGAAACCTGCCAAAACAAGAAAATATTCGGTAGAGTAGATTTCGGCTTACACAGGTTTTACTGTAATTCTGTTAATAATTAATTAATTAATATTATTTCTAGTTTAAGTATTACGATAAATGAGTTTTGTATATTAATTATTCTTATTTTAACGAGTTTTTAAGGTAATTTTTTTTAATATAAGAAGATACCTGTATATTTTATTTTAGCTATTTTAATTTAATTTAATTGGCTTTAATGTATGGAGATTATTATTAAATGCATTCTGAATATTATCTGCAATTAATTTGTTATTTTAATTTTTAAATTTTATATTAGCCATTAATTTAAATGAGAATGCTTCTCTTAAGTAAATTTTCATAATATTATTTATAAAAAAGTAAATGAAAAATTCAAATATTTTCTCATTTAAATGCTGAATTATAATAAAATTAAAATTATTTTACAGTAATAAATGTTTTATAAAATTATTATTATTATTATTATTTTTGTAGATAATAATTAGGCCTGTATTTAACTCTTACTTCACCTGTTTAACGATGATAATTTATATCTCTGTCCTATGTCCTTACAGAGGGATATTTCCTGTGTAGGAACGTGTATAAAATCCTTCTCTAGGGATATGATTTGCTCTACAGAGGGATATATGTCTGGTTTCTAATCTCAGGAGTATTGTGATGAAGTCTTACAGTGGAGTCTCCATTAAGGAATCAAAATTTTCTAGTGACCTTTAACCTATATAAACGACTGTATTGAATTTAAAATAACTGAAGACTGTTTTAATAATAATTAATAATTAATGAAATTTATAAAAATTAAAACTGAATTTGTGATAAAACTGATTTACAATTTCATTTTTAAAGAAAAAATTCAGCTTGAAGCATTAGGAAACATTTTTTAAAATATAATTTTTAAATTATAAATATGTATATATATAATAATTCTTTGTATTCTTTAATAGAAAATTATATAGACTTTTCCACCTTCAATTTAACAAGAGTATCTTCAACTTTTTAAATAGTTTTTTAAAATAAAATTGTAGATATAGAAACACAATCACTACAAGTCATTCTAAAGCTTGACTCCAGGAAATATATACCAACTTCTACACACTCATACACACTGATAGAGCATATAGGCCTATACTATATATATTTAATTGAAAAATGAAAGTTTTTCTTATCAGTAAATTCCAGCTTTATCACTTCCAGAAGCTAATCCTTTGTTGTCAAAATGGGACATTTAACAGTTTCTGATCAGCAGTAAAATACAAACGACACTCTACACATCAGAGAATACTTTTTATTTGACGAATAAAAGTATAAAGCATGGAATGAACATATATTTAACCACATTTATAACCACATTTTTAAGAATCATATCCATAAAACGAGTAATTCAAATCTATTGATCTAGATAAACTTTGTCACCCCTGAAACGAGTCTACAATACGTATTAGAAAACTAGGATAGTAATTTAACGTCAATTTATTATCTCGTAAAATTTCACTATTCAAGAATTAAGTAATAGCCAGGGCAATAAACTAATAAAAAAACGTTATTTTCTACGAACTAGATAGAATAATTTAAAAATTAAAAAAGAAAATGTATGTATAGAATTCCCGTTTATGGCATTAAACTGTAGAAACTACAATCAATTTTTTTATATTTATTTTTCAACTTTTATATAAAAAAATCGAAGAGGGAAACATAGAAAGACTTTTCTTTAAAGTCTGAAAATTGCTACAGTCATGGAAGGAAATTGCTGAAGAATCTATCACCTTGTCACAAAATTGATTAATGTTGTGTAAAATAATTGATAGCGTCTAAAATTCTTTGGATATAACGGAATCCCTCTTAGAAGTCAAGTACGAATGTTTTTATTGTGGTTTATACTGATGCTGCAGAGAGAGACGAAGAAGCAGAAATCTCTTGAGGATGACCAATGCTTCATTCTTTTAAAGAAACACACACACACACACACAAAAAAAAACCTTTCTGACAGTGATTTGCTATCTAGAAAAATAATACTAGAGATTATATTTCTAAAATAATACGTTAAAAAAAATCTAACATGGCCCATTCAATAAGTCTAATGACAGAAGGGAATAGCACAGGGATATAACGGATTTTTTCCAACCATTACATATACAGAGGATCCATTTGCTGATCTAAGAGATCTTGTAGAATAAATCCCGAGTTATAAAAATTGAAAGGGAGAGTATATAAGTTATAAAGAAAGTCAAGAATGAAAACTCTTCAGTAAGATAAACTGATTCAGAACTATAGTTGATGTGACAAACTCCTATTTTGAACGATTCGTTTCTCTTAAAATTAGCATTTAAATAGAATTAGAACAAACCTCAATTATAAATCTGCATAATTATAATAATATTAAAGATAATTAAGTAAAGTTTTAATAATAATTTACTGTAGCTTGTTAATTTTCTGTTTAATGTCTAAATTATTTACTTTGAAATGCTGTGCCGCTTTAGACCGTCAGAAAGTGCATTAAGGTTATTGAAATCTATAACTTAGAAACACAGAGAGGGGAACGAGTTAATATAATAAATTATGCTTTTAGTGGTTATATATTAACTTAAAAATTTATCATTTTTCAGTTAATTTAATGGCGTAGTAATTTATTAATTTCTCCTCTACCAAGGGTCTGTTAATAAGTTATATGTCGCATTAAATTTAATTAAATATTTAAAAATTTTAAGCTAATGTTAAAATACTTTTGCTATTTTGTAATCTTCTTTCTATCAGTAATTTATTGATGAAAAAAATTTATAATTTAATTCCAATTATTATCAAGATAATTGAGTTTGTTTTCAGCGGTAATTTCTTAGCGAGTACATGCTTTGAAATCTTAAATATTTTAACAGCATTTATTAATTCTTATCATGACAAAAATTACTAATTTTTTTTTATTGTTGCTCCGACAAAATATAAGAATTTAATCATTTAATTCTTACATCAGATGGTGTCTTGTGGTCAGTAATCAATACAGTTGTTTGATGAGGCTTGAATGTGAAGTTGGATAGGGAATAGGGAGTTGTTTGCTTTACTTTTTTTATGATAATGTCTTCTTCTGTTAAGATCTATTGACCAAGTCCATATCCGAAAATGGAATATTCTTCTGAAAGAAAGTTCTCGTGAATTATCATTTATATTTACTGTATTAAATTATTATCTTATTGAAATAAATAAATTAAGGATAAATTTCAGTAGTGAGTTCTTTATTACTTGCAAAGCTTTACTGTATTTTTAAAAAAAATCCAACAACGAGCTGCATAATTTCCTGAAAAAAAAGTTAAAATTGCGTGTGGCGTCATCTGTTATGAGATTTTATTTTTAAAACTTCTTATACTATTAATTATTATAAAATGGTAAGAATATTAATTTAGAAGGTAGAAATGAATTTTATAAAAAATTCTAAATGCTAATAACGAGTAAAATTTTTATTAAGTCCGATTACACTAAAGATATGACACATTATCCCTTCTATCTCCCCACTCCTTCGACTTATAATCATCAAAATTTAACAGAATCAATGCCCCTAATACACAAACCTTCCTGAAAAATTACAGAAATTTTTGATAAAAGGCGCAAAAGTTATTAAGTTTTAAATTGGATGAACAAAATCGTGTTCTCCTCACATATTAAAACTCATACATGTAGAAAAAACCCCAAAATTTTCTGTATTTCACGGCATTTTAATTAAGGATCTCAAGTGAAAAAAATGTAAAAATCTTGGGGAGATGTATTTTTTGACCGATCACAATACATATAACAGCCGGGAAAGTAATAAATTAAGTTTGTTTTTATATAAAAGAGAAAAATCCAAATTTTCTACAATTAAAATATAGAGAAAAATTTCCTTCTTTGGCCTCTTTTCTAACTTACGGCATTACAATTTTTTATCACCATTTAAATTACTCAACAAAGAGCAAGGTTTTCAAATGTAACTAATTCCGAACTTAATTTAGATCATCATCATCATCAACATTTATGTTGTAATGCGTGATAAATTCTTATTTTTCAGTAATAATTTCTACATCTTTGTTCCTCCTCTTTCTTCTTCTTCTTCTTCTTCTTCTTCCAATCTTCTCTTTCCATCTGTCACGCATCCCAACATCAAACAATTCTTTTTAACAGCCTAAAATTATTCAAATTTTCTCCTCTAAGCAGTTTTTGATCTTATTTTTTAAGCCGTACATTTGGGTAAATTTCTTCTTTCTTTTATTATTTTAGGATACTTTATTGCCATTCAACCTGATTAAATTGGTGCAAGAAAACAAATGGAACTGATATAATGGATCTTGGAATATGTCATTTGATTCTGAACCACTTTGCAATAATTTTTCCAGAAGTGAAACGATCGCAGAAAATATTTAGATAAAGGAGGATGTGACAGAAAGATAAATCGTTAACATTAAAGATACTCATTCTTTTATTTTATTTTATTTTATTTTTTTAAAGATGCAAACTTTATCTCATTAGAAAAGAAAAAAAAAAGTCTACTTGAGACACGACCAAGTAAAAACAATTATAAAGATAGATTTATATTTGTCGAGTAAGGGAAGAGTAACCGATTTCTCTAATTTTCTTATTTATTTTAGAGATAAGAGGATGACATCAATGATAAATTTTATAGATAAAATCATTTTAAAATTGTTTATAAATGAATGAAATGTTATTATTCAGTTAAACGGAGAAGAAGAATTAATTTTATTTTACGTCGTTTTATAAGGCTTTACCGTAGGAAGTGAGTTAAAGGGGAGGGGGAAGATCAGCAGTTTCCGCTAATCTGATTGGTTAATACTTCATTGATGTCATTTAAGTTAATCTTTTCTGCTGACGGATATTACCGATTCGCTTCTGTTAATTCTATTGGCGTAATTGAACCATGTTTCTACTCTACTAACCAATCAGATTAACGGAAACTGCAAATAGTTCTAGTAATGTTTCTACATGATTCATTTCCGGACCACTTATATCCATGATTTTATTTTATTTATTTTTTTTAACGAGTCTAGATTAAAATAATTTATAAATTATTATAAAATATTTATAAAAGAATAATAAAATTAAAAATCTATACGAGAGATTTAAATATTTATCATAAATTTTTGTCGAAATTAATGATATAAAAAAAACTTATATGCGATTATATCAAAGTCTAAGAATTTGCTGAATCTTGTAACATTTATAATTAGACAAAGGAATTAATTTTAGAGAGGAGTCTCTCGAGACTTTCCTTCTGAAGATGCACTCTATGATGTTCGAGTGTTACTCCATCATTTCTAATAACAATAGATGCAAGAGAATATTGCAAGAGGGAAATAATGATTAAATGCTGACGTTCCTTTACTTTTTGCTTGTTTATTATATCTAACAATATCTTTTAATCTGATATACACGTTTATATTCTATCCATTTTTCCCCCTCTCCATCACTCAATAAAAAAACTATTCAATTGTTTCCTTTGCAAATTATATTGTATAAAAGGTAAGAGGCTATATTTATTTTAAAAAAATTAAGTTTTATGCAATAAAATTATAAATTTCTAGTATCATATTGAACTGATAATTCTCACTTTAATGTTTCTGAATCAGACTAAAAGTATTTAATTTTGTCTGATTCAGAAACATTGATTCTAAGCTAATTTCGGAGTAAATGATGTTATTAATACACCGAACCAATGTATCAATATTAACTTTCATAAAGAATAATGGATCGACTTAAATATGGATACTTA